CCTCTGTCTCCCTCTCTCTCTGCCCCTCCCCCACTTTCTCTCTCAAAAATAAGCAATTAAAAAAATAATAAATGAAAAAAGAAAATCAACATTCCACATCTTAAGGAACTATGTGTTCAATTTTACCACTTCAATTACAAACTAAAAACATCAGTCTGTCCTTGATTTAAGGAGATGAAAGTTACACCTAGTGGAAAAAGTATAAACTTGGAATCCAAAAGTTTGAACATTGAGTCCAGCACTTAATATCTAAATGTCTTAACAAAAGTCATTTCCTCTCTTTTTAGCCTTAGTTTCAACGCATAGGAGAGTTCATATAGCAGGCCTGAGATTGCTGTTCTTAAAAAGTATTGCTTGCAAGATTGGCCCTTGGCTCAGCTGTGTGAACTTGGTAGGGTTCTCACCCTTTTGATAAGAATGGCTCATTATGCCAAGAAACAGACTCTTTTTTTAAAGTTTATTTAATTATTTTGAGAGAGGGAGAGAGAATATCCCACGCAGGCTCCATACTGTCAGTGTGGAGCCCAACACAGGGCTTGAACCAACAAACTGTGAGATCATGACCTGAGCCGAAATCAAGAGTCCAACTCTTAACCGACTGAGCCACCCAGGTACCCCAACAGGCTCTTAACTATAGAGCACAAACTGATGGTTACCAGAGGGGAGGTGGCTGGGGTGAAATGGGTGATGGGGATTAAGGAGTGCCCTTGTGATGAGCACTGGGTGATGTACGGAATTGTTGAATCACTATATTGTACACCTGAAACTAATATGACACTGTATGTTAACTAACTGGAATTAAAATAAAAACTTAAAAAAAACACCTGGACTCCTAGACTCCAGGGAGGTTCCCTGATAGACAACATTTCACACATGTCACAAACCATTGCTGGAGGAATTAAATAATAACTTACTCCACTAGGAGAAGACTCTTGGAAGCTGACATCTGGTTCCCTTCAGACTTTGCCCCATGTGCTTTTTCCTTTTGATGATTTTGTTTTGTATCCTTCTACTGTAATAACTCTTAGCTGTATGACTATATGCCAAGTCCTCTGAATCATCCTGGTGAATCATCAAACCTTGGGGTGGTCTTGGGGACCCTCGAGAGTTTCCCTATCTATGTGAACAATTAACAACACGACTTACCTCACAGGGTTGTTGGGAAGATGAAATAAGATAAAGAAGGGAAGACATTCTATAAATAGTAAAGAGCTACACAAACATTCTTATATTCAGAACTTTAAAACATATATATTCAATACCTTTTGCAGTTCTGCATACATTTAGGAAATGAATTCTAGAAACTGAAGTTTAGTAGTTTCCAAGATTGGGAAAACCCAATAGATTCCTTCCTGTTCTCATAACCAAAAAATTAAAGGACACCGGCTGAATGAGCAGTTGGTAGCCAAGAAGATTATGTGGTGGTCTTAGACCGGTATTGAAACGACACAAAGAGGCAGGTTAGGTGGGGCTGTATCAGAGAAGCTTTCTGAACAGGCAAGAGCTGTTTTCCACAAAATATAATGAACCACGCTAATACCCAACGAAAATCAGTCTCATTGCTTTATAGCTACCCTGCATATTTAAACTGGCAATAATGTGTGTATGTGTGTGTACACTTAGAGAAGTAACACATGAAAACATTCTGGTTAAAATATAATCCAGATAGTACACATAAAGGGTGAGTCCCCTCTACTGCCCTACTCTTCCAAAATGCCAGTCCCCTATCCAGAAGTAACCACTGTTAACAGACTGGTCCAGATTTCCAGACATTCTTCCTAGACATTTGCATATTACATATGTGGACATTTACATATTCTAGACATTTAAACATTTATGTAAATGCCTTAAAATGCATAACTGATAAATATATAAATATATTGTGGCAAATGTCTAGAGTATTTATTTAAATAGATACAAAAATACGGGGCGCTTGGGTGGCGCAGTCGGTTAAGCGTCCGACTTCAGCCAGGTCACGATCTCACGGTCCGTGAGTTCGAGCCCCGCGTCAGGCTCTGGGCTGATGGCTCGGAGCCTGGAGCCTGTTTCAGATTCTGTGTCTCCCTCTCTCTCTGCCCCTCCCCCGTTCATGCTCTGTCTCTGTCTGTCCCATAAATAAATAAAAACGTTGAAAAAAAATTTTTTAAATAGATACAAAAATAATATGTGCATATTTGTATGTGTGTCTATTGGAATGTGTTAAAGGTAAGCAGAATTATACTAAAAGTGTGTATTATTCTGTAACTTTTTTTTTAGTCTTTGAAATTTATTTATATCATTGCATAGAGATCTACCTCATTGTTTTGCCATAATGGAATATTCTTGTGCATGCCTTCTGTACACGCATGCAAGGTTTTTCTAGGGTAGGAACAAGTGGAATTACAGAGTCATGGGGGTACACACTTTTAATTTAATTTTTTAAAATTTGTTTATTTAGAGAGAGAGAACCAGCGGGGGAGGGGGAGAAAGAGAGGGGAAAATAGGATCCAAAGTGGGTTCCACACTGACAGCAGAGAGCCTGATGTGGCGGCTCAAACTCACGAACTGCAAGATCATGACCACAGCTGAAGTCGGATGCTTAACCGACTGAGCCATCTAGGCACCCCCACACTTGTAATTTTAATAGATACTGCTAAGTTGTCCTCTAAAGTGGCAATTCCAATTTCTACTCTTGCTAGCTAGGTAGGAGAGTACTTATTTCCCTGCACCCTTGTCAACATTTGATATTACTACACTTCAAAATTCTTACCAGTTGGATGGGTGAGAAATAGTATCTTTTCATTATATATGCCACATTTAGTCAAAACTGTCTCACTGACTCCACAAAGGGAGTTAATTGAGTCTTGGGTTATTATAACTCATGGCAATCTTCATTAATCAGATGTATACCTCCTCAAATTTTTCTATAGCAATTCTTCAGTGATAGAAAAACTATTTAGAACAAAAAACTACCTTTATTTCTTAGAAAGAGACAGTGATTTACAGGTGATGGAAAGGTACTGTTTACAATAAGAATTTGTTTCCTCTTAACTTTGGGAGCTCAAGCATATTGGGTTCCAAGGGAAAAAGGGACAAGATATGTTACTACAGCTCTAGCTCATTCTTAGCACCTCCTCATAGAGTTAGAAGTACACTGGGGGATCATATGTCCCCATGTTTCCAGGAGTAAAAGAGTAAAAGAGTAAAAGAGAGGAATAATTTCTCAACCTGACCATTAATCCTTTGTTTACCCTGGAAAAGTCAAAATACATTCAACTTTAAAAAGGTGGGGCACCTGGGTAGCTCAGTGGATTAAGTGTCTGACGCTTGGTTTCAGCTCAGGTCATGATCCCACGGTTCGTGAGATTGAGCCTGGCATCGGGCTCCGGGCTGAACAGCATGGAGCCTGCTTGGAATTCTCTCTCCCTCTCTCTCTGCTCCTTCCCTACTCTCTTTCTCTCAAAATAAATAAATAAACTTAAAAAAAAAGTAGGAAAGCAACCTAAAAAAGGTTGCATTTTATGTCCTGCTAACCTGGAAGCTTGAGCTGCATATTTAATTTGCTCCCCCTTGAAATCCCACTAAAATGACCCCCCAAAAGGGTATAAGTTAACAAGGATGAAGGAGCAGTCAAGAAATATAAACAAATATTTAGAAGAGGAAAATAGTTGAGTAGTGGTAACTGACTTAGCAGAGTGGAAAAAGCTAAAATATGACTCCTATAGGACAAATGCCAAGAAGAAACAAGCCAATTTGTACCATAGAACCACAGAGAGGAGCACAGGTTTCCTCTCTGGAGAGGCCAAATCTGAGAGGCTGGATTCACAGACAGCACATACAGCAGAAGGCAGGGATAAAGTATCATACTGCTGAGGGAATTAAATAAAAGTCTGTACATGACTGGACGGACTCCTTCAACTCCCTTATTTTCTCTAGGTTGCCAGAAATAAGGCATACCACTACTCTGTCTACACCACTGCAGAGAGAATGACAAATTTCTTTATTGGAAACTGACCACCCAAGATAAACCAATGCATACACAGCTTTTAGTGTCCCACTGTTAAATATGAATGGGTAGCCAAAGATCACTGGAAATTTGAGGAAAGCTTCTTATATGAAAGAAAAGACCAAACACACTAAAGACAGGAATTTGGAGGACCCAGAGGCAAGGCAGGAAGAAAAAGAAAACCTCAAAAAAATGTAATTTCTATTAGAGATGAGCATTGCATCCAAGAAAAAAAAATAGAAGGATATAAAAAATTAGAGGATTAAAAACATCTTAGAAATTAATAGGCAAATAGGTGCGGAGGGAAATCACCCATAGAGTGGAATAAAGAGATAAAAAATAGAAAATAGGAGGGAAGAGATAAGAAAAGCAGAGACTATATCTAGGAGATCTAATATCTGACTATGAGGAGTGCAATAAAAGAGAAATGGGAAAAACAGAAAGGGGGCATTATTAAAGAAATAATATAAGAAACCTTCCCATTAAAGAGAATACAAATTTCTAGTTTGAAAGGACCCACCAAGTACAATAAACAAGAAAAGTCCCATACAAAGGCACATCATTGTGAAATTCATTCACACTTGGCAACAAAGAAAAGGTTCTTAAAGTTTCTAGAGCAGGAGTGGTGGTGGCAGTGGAATACAGATCAAAAAAAAAGAATCAGGCATTATAATGAACTTCTCAACAGCAATACTGAAAACAGAAGACAGTGAAGAAAAGCCTGCACATTTCTGAACAAAAATGATTTCCATTGTAGAATCTAAACCCAACCAACTAACTAACAACAACAGCAGCAGCAACAACAACAACAACAACAACAAAAAGCTATTTTCAGGTATGCAATGGTTTAAAACATTTCTCTTTCATGAACACTGTCTCAGAAAGTTATTGGGGTTGTATTTAACCAACACAAAGGGGTATCCCAAGAATGAGGAAGATACAGAATCTGTTTCAACACAGAGATGAGAAGTGAAGCAGATTCCCAGGATGACAGTCCCAGGTTGCCAGCTGGGCAGCAGGCCTACAGAAAGAAAATCAGGACAGAAGATTCCAGGAGGGTTGTCTTCAAGAAAGAAATGGATTGATAAATTATCTGGTATGTTTGACCATATTAGAAGGAGTTTTATAAGTCTGTAAAGAAGTTTGGAGATAAATTATTGACAGGTACATAGAAGACTAAGTAAATGAAAAAATGAGATTATTAACTCTGGGAAATAGAAAAAGCCAAACAAGAAAGGAAGTGGAATCATATGCTATGTGGCTCAGCTGTAAAACATATTTACATAATCATAAAAATTTAAACACTAAATATTCCTTTAATCAAAACTTGTGAGATTACCATTATGAGAGATAAGAGGTGAGGCGGTGTACATGGGTGGTTTTATAAGAGAGCTTTTTCCTATCTTCCATAGTGGGAAATCAATTGATAACATCTAAAACTTTTTTCACAACTGTACTGAACTTATTATTTTTTATACATAAAGATTAACATTTTAATCATATTAAGTGGACAGTTCAGTGACATTGTGCAACCATCACCACTCTCCATCTCTAGAACTGCCTCATCCTTTTGAGAGGTACTGCCTACCCATTTAATCAGAATTTCTTGAGACCATTTAATCAGAATTTCTGGAAGCACAGGAAGCTATCCACAAAAGATGTTACATTACAAAATTATTGTGGTTTTAATCAAACCCTGAGTTATTCTAAAATGTAATAGTAACCAGCTATTATTTTCTTTTGTACTCTTGATCCCCTTCACCTATTTCACCCATCTGCCCACCCACTTCCCCTCTGGTAACCACGAGTTTGTTCATTATATTTGAGAGTCTGTGTTTTTGTTTGTCTCTTTTTTGCTTTGATTCCTAAATTGTACATATGAGTGAAATCATATGGTATTTGTCTTTCTCTGACTGACTTATTTCACTTAGCATTACACTTTCTAGATCCATCCATGTTGTTGCAAATGGCAAGATTTCATTCTTTTTTATGGCTGAATAATATTCCATTTGTATATATACCACATCTTCTTTATCCATTCATCTATCAATGGATACTTGGGCTGCTTCCATAATTTGGCTATTGTAAATAATGCCGCAATAAACATAGGGGTGCATATATCTTTTTGAATTAGTGTTTTTGTCTTCTTTGGGTAAGTACCCAGTAGTGGAATTACTGGATTATATGGTAATTCTATTTTTAATCTTTTGAGGAATCTTCACACTGTTTTCCACAGTGGTTGTGCCAGTTTGCATTCCCACCAACAGTGCGTTCCTTTTTCTCCATGCCCTTGCCAACACTTGTTTCTTGTGTTTTTAATTTTAGCCATTCTGACAGGTGTTGAGGTGATATTTCATTATGGCTTTGATCTGCAATGTCTAAAATTTTTAAATTAACGTGTTATACTGCCAACTCTTACCTACAAAAAAATGAATGTAAGTGTCAGATGAAACAGCTTAAAGAATGTAAAGTATAAACCTAGGGAACTGGGCAGAAGGTAGTAGGGCAGGAATTGATTCATTTTTCTGATTATTGTACTGTTTGGCTTTTTAAAATGATACACATGCATTTGCCATAAATATTTATTTTTTTGCATTTGACATAAATAAAAATTAAGTTTTAAAAAAGTTAAACATGACTGTAATAATAAAAAAAGGAAATAAAACCTCTAATGGCAACTCAGTTATTATTTTGGAATACCCTGGGGGAATTCTCTATCCTAAGGAAAAAAAGTGATGAAAATTATTTAGGAGAAACACTTTTCTTGTTTTTACTCTGAAAACTTAGGGGAGCTGGGGGTAGAAGCTGCATGATTTCTATAGGGATTTCTTGATATGAAAATAATGACCCGAGGATGGTAGGATGTAGCTTGATGGGGAAACAATCCACCCTTCCCTCTACCAGCCCTGCTAACATCACTTTGTGGATGGGAAACACTGGGCTACAATGGAAAATAAGGTCTGGTTAACCTTGTGGAATAACCTGAAAGCCAAAGACTTGTCTTTCAGTAAAGATCTGATTATTAATTAGAAAGGGCCAGTTAGAACTACCACTAAGTGCCTGGGTGGCTCAGTCGGTTGAGTGTCCAACTTCAGCTCAGGTCATGATCTCGAGGTTTGTGAGTTCAAGTCCCACATCAGTCCCTCTGTTGTCAGTGTGGAGCCTGCTTTGGAACCTCTGTCTCCCTCTCTCTGCCCCTCCTCCTCTGTACATGTGCATCTGTGCTCTCTCCCTCTCTAAATAAACATTAAGAAAAAATTTAAAAACATAGAACTACCACTAAGAAAAACAGTTTAGTCATTTGCCAAGTCAAGTGATATCCATTATTCCCTCTCTTTAAAAAAAATATTTTTTTTATAGAGAGAAAGAAAGCACAAAAGCAGGGGAGGGGCAGAGAGAGAGAGAGAGAGAGAGAGAGAGAGAGAATCCCAAGTAGGCTCTGTGCTGTCAGTGCAGAGCCCAATGTGGGGCTCGAACTCACAAACTGCGAGATCATGACCTGAGCTGAAATCAAGAGTCAGACACTTAACCGACTGAGCCACCCAGGTACCCCATAAGCCTCTTCCTAATTCACACTATAGCCAAGACCATCTACTAAGAGATGTACCTTTCTCAGAATCTCAGTATTGGTATTAGAACAAAATCTCTCCACAAGTAGAGACCACATTTATTATAACATCATTAAACTATTTATTAAATACCTGTTGCATAAGGTAAGGTGTTAGATTAAATGAAACAAAACTGCAGGTTCCCTATCCTGAATGTATCCTTTTTTTGAAACCAACAATACAATTCCAGTTGTACTATGAACATTATGTTGTCTCAACGTCATCAGAAACAGTGTGCCTGGGGCACCTGGGTGGCTTAGTCATTTAAGGTCATGATCTGGTGGTCCATGAATTTGAGCCCCATGTCAGGCTCTGTGCTGACAGCTCAGAGCCTGGAGCCTCCTTCGGATTCTGTCTCCCTCTCTCTCTGCCCTCCACCCGCCCCTGTTCCACTCACACACACAAGTGGCAGACACAAACAAATGCTGCTCTGGTAAATATTTTACCTGGTACTGGAACTGAATGGGCTGCAGTTGGTTGTCATTCTGAGTCATCTTTCTGGCTAGGGCCTCTTTCAGCGCAAGAGCTTTATTCAACTCAACCAGCTCCTTAGACATCTGAGCTTGACGTAGAGCATGCTGAGTAGTGAAAGCATCAGAAGACCTGCTGGTTTCTGGACTGGTTTCCACTTGCTGGAAAAGATCAAAATGATGACTTGTAAGAGAAACAAGCAATTAGAGATCCTTAGGCCCTACTTCATCAGGTCGGTCTCATAGCCACTTCTCCATTACCGGTACCCCTGTTCTTTTAAAAATATGGCTTCTCATATATTTGCTTTAAACATCTGAAATGAGTCGAGCCTAGCCTCTTTCCCTGTTCTCACAGCACCTTGTTTCTTACATCTTTTAACTGACTCTTAGAGTAAACTGAGTTTCTTGCTCTTTCCTTTATTGATCTAGCTAACATTTCTTACTTTCATCTCATTCTAAGGGATCTTTACAAGAGAAAGAGTTCTGGAAATGGCACTTTAGGAATGGTGGAAATGGAGAAGAGGCTTCATTATCCCTTTATAATCCCGAAAGATTTGGGAACATAATGGTTGCCTTCATAACTGAAAAGGGGGTGTTCACCCATCACTTAAAATAAAAGTAGTTTTAATCCACAATGAAGGGCACATGCCAGAGGTCACCTGATTTATCTGCCATCTTTCTTTCAGAATACAAAAAATATCGATACATGTTTGTTTTAAGGGCAAAAAGATGTCTCAAGGAAGCCACTGTCTAGCCTTTCATTTTGACTTGGCTCTCTAACCTTTAGCCAACATCTAATACATTTTATCTATTCTTGCAACTTGAACACTCAAAATATTTCCCTTGGTTCTTTTAGCCCCTAACCATCCCATCCACAAGCAAAGTATGATGAGGAAAAAAAGTCTCTTCCATTTCTTCTCTACTACTTTTTTGACTCTGCCATAATTACCTAATTTGTTTTTTTCCCTCCCTTAACTTGCTAGACAGCTGTCGCAGAATACTAGCATCTAACAAGAAGTCAGCAAACCAGACTGCAAATAAGGAAAATGACATCCTTGAGAAGCCCTGCCATCCATTAGCAGTCATACTATTAGAGATGGAGTCTATCCAACTTCGGGATTTTACACAACTGGCATTTATACTCAAGATGTCTGGATTTCCAAGGTACTCTATGGAGGATGGTAGCAATCAGGGATTCTCTTCCTCAGCTGAGTGATAAATTAACAGGAAATGGCACAGTTAAAGCTCCTAGTTCTACACAAAGCCAATTACTTACAGCTTCTGGTTCTACTGCAGTATCAATGGTTGCAGCAACAGTTTCATCCTGCAATGACAAATGATATTTCAGTTTAGGAAAAGACCCTGAAGTGAAGCTTACTAGTGGATTTTATATTGGTTACTTAATTTTTTTTCAAGTATACATAGAGACCATTTAAGGTGCTGGACCCATTTTGTGGCACATAGCTACACCCAAAACCACACATTTCCATTTTCCACCTCTTAAGAGTCTATCCTCATTATAAGGTTGATGGTGTAGTCTATCTAAAAAGAAAAATAGGGTCATGTGGCAATTGACATATTTATTGCTCCTCTCCTGCTCTGCCAGAGATTATTGAGCCAATGAAGCATTAGTCATTCTAACAGGCCAAAGTTTAACCCATTTTATAGACTCTATCCTTTGTGTTTTTACCACTAAGTCTACTTCTATAATGTACAGGTCTAGCCAGTTCACATGGACATGCCACCTAAAAAACAGACATATGAAATAAAGGCAACGCAGTAGAAAAGTGAATAGAAGCAAGGGTTATTTTGTATTTTTTTTTTTTTTTTACAGTCCGTCAAGGTAGCAAGAGCCTACTCTAGAAGGAAATAAATTCCATACAGGCTGATAACCCAGAAAAATGTGCTCATGAAGTCAGACAAATCTCCCTCATATATCTAAGAATGAATCAATCTTATGCAGCTACTGCAGGTAGTGGTTACATGAAGGGAAAGGGCAAGCGCTGATTCCCTTCCAGAGAAGGGCAATTCCTTTTTTGGGCACTGGAATGACAACCATCTAAAAGGGAAACCTAAAACCACTTATTAGGACTAATTTGTTTATAGGCTATCATATGAGCAAGCTCTCTTCTCCCCACTGGAATTTAGGCTTTATTTGGTATTGCAACATATGGATTACCACTTCTGTTTAAGTGATTCCGTGAGCCTGGGAAGAAAGGATTTCCAGGAAGTCACATGATTAAAGAGGTCAAAGGTGAAAGAGCTACTGGCTCAACAGCAAGGAAATAATTTAGGGTTAGCACATGGAGTCTCTGCATCAGCCCAGTGAAACCTTACATAGTTGTTGACACTTGAGTCTCATACCTTCAAGGCGAGGAGTGAAGAGGCCCTTAGTAAGTGCTATTTGTAAAGCACTTCCCCTGCCCAGAAATTCCTAATCAGTGAGACTCAAAGAAAATTCAAAGGAAGCTCCAGTGTTCTCACATCCTTTTTCATCATGACTTAGAATACTGGTGATTCTCCAAGGACCAGGCATATGAAATCCTTCTTGAAAAACAGAGCACTTCGATATATTATAGGTTGATGGTTACCCTTTCTTCCCTCCCATGTTTTAAGTTTCAGTAAACGGACTACTTACAGACCTATCCTAGATGAGTAAAGCCTGTAATGCTGGCTTTTGGAGACATTTTCTACTACCTTCCAGGGGGTCAGGATTGAAGTAGATGGGTAAATCTTTGAAGAAGACATATTACTGTGGTTTACCTTTTGGCTTTTGGCCTAATACAATTTTATAATGCCAAAGGTTAAGCTTTGGTGACATGTTCTACACGAACTTGGTAGGATTCTGCCTTCATAATCCTGAATATAAATATATAAAGATGGGATTTATTTCAACCTAAAAGCCTCTTTAGCTCTCATTCTCAGGCTACGATGGAGAACCTCTTGTAAGGTAAAAATACGTGATTTGCTGAAGGTGGCGGTCATGGGGACAAGGCTAGGGTACGTTGAGCTACATTAACCAGCAATGCCCTTCAATAGGAAGTTTGGGCTTGTAGGCTGTAGGCAATCCCATTACCAGGCATGCAAAATGGTTTTTATGGAACTGGTCTTAGAGGAGGGGATAAAAACAACAAAATTTGATTTTGTGGGAACTGAAAGGACTGCATTGAATTTCCTCACAGGTGACTGCAGCAAGGAGGTTTGTTTGAATTGTATTTTTAAGGAAGAAATGGTACACTTTAGTGCTTAAAGCCCCAGGAGGAATATTTAGGAACAATGGCTGCCTTCATAACTGAAAAAGGGGTGTTCACCTGTCACTTAAAATAAAAATAGTTTTAATCCAGAATGAAGGGCACAAGCACTTACATCTGAAACATTTTGCTTTCACTGTAGTGAGTCTTAATAAAAACCACAGGATACATTGTTGTGTATTTCCAAAAAATACATAGCTGGGAGGGTCTCGAAACAATAGACATGGAAACCTCTGATTCAAGAGTCCAGCAGGAGCCCTTGGGCAAAAGGGTTTACTCTGCCTAACTGTGACAGTGGAGGGAAGCCAGGGACTTTATCAGCTCATGGCAATCTTTAGTACCTTCTGGCTGCATGTGCCAAGTGACTTTCAGTGGCAGACACAGAGATTCTACAGAGTTCCTCTGAGTCAGCCACCACTAGCAATTTCCTCTACAGGCACAGCAGTCACCAGTCATATCACCAGATCCTCACCGCGGATATGCCTTCTCTAACGTTATTAACTTGTTTCCATGGGTTTCCTTCATCTTTCCCATGTGACCCAAAGCCCCAGAAATGAGATGGTGTGAAATCCTCTAAGATTGCTGTGGTGGCCATGAACAACGGTGTCCTGGATCACTCTTTTGTAATCATATAAGCTTCGGTTCCAGTATGGTTCTGCAGCCTAGATTATCTTAATTCTGAGGCAGCTCACACAAGGTTTTCATACAGCAGATGTTTCAGCTACATTTAAGTGGAATTACAGATGGTGAAATTTAACCTTGTGATAGCCATTCTCTGGCGTGCACTCTATAATTCAGCCACAGCGAGGTCCTTATCACATTCTGAACTTTCAACCATTTTTGCTTTGACATGTACCTTTTTCTCTGTATAGACTGTATTTTCCCCATTGTCTGTGTGGCAAACTTCTATTCCTTTTTTAGGGCCCATTGTCTTCTGTACTGACTTCCTGAATTTTCTGGGCAGTTAATCACCCCTTCTTTTGTGTTGTCAGTGCCTTTTGCTGATATTGGTAATGTAAGAGGATTAAAACAGAAAGAGAGGGTTCCTAATTTTCCTTGCCTCCTTCCCCCTTCTTTGCCATCTCTCCCACTTATGAACCTTAACCAGCGAACAAACTACAAGGGTTGCAAGAACGACTCTTGAAAACAACTGGAGAGCTAGTAGGATGGATTGCACCAATGTTCTTAATTTAAGCCACAGGCATGAAAACTGGAACAGCCTCAAACCAAAAGTTTCACAGCAATTAACAACAAAACTCCTACATGAGCCAAACCACAAGGACACACAGCCCTCCCTTCTCACCTTATAAAACTCCAATTCTGCTTCCACTCAAGGAGTTACCTGGAGTTCAGGTGCTCCCTGAGTGTATCAGCTTTTAACGTCCTTTTTGAGTCACTTAAATTATTTTCTTTTGATATTAATACAGTACTTAGCAAGGTTATACAGCTACTGAGTGGCAGAATTGGCTTCAAACTAGGGTGTGTCTGGCTCTGGGGCCCAGGTTCTCAACTGCTGTGGCCTGTTTGTTGGATAAATGAACTGTTCTGTTGGACTGCTCGTGGCAGTTTTGTATAGCACTACTTGTTCTAAAACACTGCTCTCGAGTCTTTTGGGAATTTACTCACTTAACTTATTGGAACTCATCCTAACCCTTCCTCCCACAATACTGTAGGATATTTTTAAACAGACTCTTTAAGAGTAAAACATAGGTGTAGATGATTTTGTGATACCCTTTTGAAAACTCTAGAAAACACTGGGCAAGACCTGAGATTTTACCACTGTTATGGTGAAGTTAAAGCCTCTGCCCAAGAGCTAGAAATTACCACCAGTCATTTACAGACAAGTCACAGCTTCAGAATGATGAATAAGAGGGTATAGATGGAACAAAACCTACTATAACCCCTTAATCAACCACAGCCCCTTAACATGACTTCAGTTAAAAAAAGAAACGTATATATGCCTAAGGGCTAAGATAGAGAAGGAACACCAAAAATAAAAGAGGTTTTTAGGGTGGTGGGATTGTAAGAATTTTTCTTCCGGGAAAAACAACAAATACCTGCAGCCCAAGCCCACCCACAACTACTGTAACAGTTCTAAAAATAAATAAAAATGGGGACTTACAGAACAATCATTCAAATGAATTTATTACTGGTTATAAAAAAGAACTATGGTATTCCCTGGTTGCTCTAAGCTATCTGTTAGAACCCAGCTTACTTAAGATCAAGGTAAGAGGTACAAGGCCTCTTATTAAGTTAGCCTGCACTGAAAGGACAGCAAATCAATGCCTGCTGCCTGTTTTACCAGGCAATTTTGCACTGCTGTGCTGCTGCTTCCAGTATTGGATTACAGTACTGAAATACTGATGTGCCATTTCATATGTAACCTAGGAGTGTTTTGACTTAACAAATTCAATATTCAGATCATACGCAATGATCCATGACCTCTGTCCTCAAACAGCTCACAATCTAGTTGTTTTGGCCAAAGGCACAAGTTAGATATGTTTATATGCATCAAGAGAAACAAATGAAAGCAATACATCTATCTACACTGCCCCTACTTGGCTTACCGATAGCTGGGTAATCACTTGCTGCAGGTTACGAATTGTCTCTACATTTTCTTTTAATTCCCGGTCTTCCAAAGCTTCCACTAGCTTTTGAAGATCCACTTTGCAGCTGAAAGTTCAAACAAAGGAACCCAAAGGTTAATCATACTGCAAAGACCAGAACGTCGGTGATTATATACTAAGGTGGTATAGGAAACATTTGGTATGAAACTTACGCTGCATGCTGCCTCAGTTCCTCTAGCTTGGCATTCATTTTTTCATTCGCTTGTTCTGTCTGCAACAGAGACCCAGGAGATCATCAGTGGCAACGCCTAACAGCCTCACCTAATTATGCCCTCTCTCCTACTCCAATGGATCAAAACCTAGGTAGAAAGGCTGGCTCCTTTGCTATAATAAGAGGATTTAGTGGGCTTTGGTAATTTAGTGAGAAATGTATTTTTTTTTAACAGAGTCATGGAAATTAGCCCTTCAGTCAACATGAGCTACTAAAAACAGCATCTAAGCAGCTGGGTCTTATGCTTGCCATGAAGCTCAGACTATGGTGTGGAGTGTGAAGCCTTAATTCCATACAGAACTTTGCAATTGGGGGAAAAAGCAATACTTCCTGGCATGCTATTCCCTGTTTGCAAAAAACCCACTTACTTTAAAATGCCTCCTACACTATACTGTTTCCTAGCCCCAGCATAAGGGCATTTAAAACATAAAAGGGTCTCACACTGAATATGAGCTGAGCTTTTTTTCCCAAGTTACACTATCTGATATGGTAGGCTAGTTTTAGTAGGAGAAAGCAAGAAAAAGGGTGAGGCACAAGAACGGTAGCAGAGAAGAAATGGCCGAGGGAGCTACAATTTGGGAAGGGTGATTGATATTTTCCATTTTATTTTAATCACAGTATCTGTAATGTGCTAGATGCTGTGACAGATTTGGGAAGGGCAGGTTATACAGGACAAAAATGTGCTTGTTATGACATTCCAACGGCACATCAAATAAGAAGCTTTCTTGAAGCCATTATGACAGCCTTATAAAGTTCAAATGGGTATGTGGCTAGAGTAACAGGTACTGTCTGTTATGTCAGCCACATTCACATATGTGTGCGACACAGCCTCTAGAGTTACTCCCAAGGCACAGAATACAGCACTGGTGACAGAAAACTGTATATAAAAATCCTCTAGCTCCCATTTTCACCCTTTCCCTAGTAATAGACAATGGATATAGGGTTTGGCCCCCTTTAAAGAATCTTTAAGCAGCTTACACTTCCTTGACTAGAGAGCACACTGATGCATGAAGGTGCATAAATTACAGATGTTCAAGTACATTTTGGTGGAAACTCATTTTCGCTTTTGACAATCATTGTGCTATTAAAGATTGAGTTGTACTTAGACTAGCAGAAAAACATTAGCTACAGAGGCAGCATGCACTGATCCAGGTTACTATCAGACAGGTAGTAGCATACAGAATTGGTGTAATCAGTTACATAGTGATCCACTATTTAGAAATGAATCATATGTAAAAGAATTAACATTAATTTCCCAGCTGTTCTATCTCACCACGGCAGCTGTTAGGACAGAGTATGAAATGTGATGACATTAGAGGAAGGGAGATAGAGAAGAACTAAAATCTTACTGAGGGGACAGTTACTTGGTATTACGGATAAAGATTAAGTAGGACTTAAGGTGACAGGAGGTCCTGGTTCTTTCCTCTCTGGCATTTTAGAACAAATGTACTTTAAAATACGATTCATGTGGATTCTTTGTGATGGATATACAGGTGCTCACCATACAATTCTTTTAACTTTTCTGTATGTTTGATCATAAGCCCATGTATGTAGAGGGCTTAAGAGGGGCTCCATGGGGGACATAGTAAAATTAATCCATTTATTTCCAGATAACTTGTCTCTCATAATGAGAAGCATGTTAAACATTTCAGGAACTAAAGCTAGTAAATGTCCAGATTGCTAGTAGCTTAGTCTTGGGTCCTCACCAAAATGATCCTCTCCAACATCTGGGCTGTCTGACCAGCTGCCTCGCTTAGACCACGACTTAATTTTTCATTTTCCTCTGCCAGGGACTGATTCTTCTCCATCAGGGACTGTAGATTTTCTGATGGTTCCACACTAAAACAAAGAAAGTAACATATTAGAAAAATACCTGTTGATAACACCTATATCAAAGGTAGATAAAAATATACCCCACAGGCCTTTTCCCCCAAAAATCTGGGGAAAAAGTGTGTCCATTCCAATCTACCCTTCCAGTCAGGCAGTATATTGAATGAATAAGAAACATATGCCTGAAATATGTTGAATTAATGATTTGTGGGACGGTAATAATTCAGAACCAGACATGGTTGCAACAGAAATGACTAACTAACCTTTACCCTTGGCTCTTGGTTTAAGATCTATTTGTGCCATGTAGTTAAGAAGTAAAGGCTAACTGCAGCTAAGATAGGTGTTCTCTTTCTTCTTCCCACCCGCATTCCCTCATTAAAGGTTAGGGAAGCAGGGAAGGAAGCGGTATGGGGGAGGTAGAAGTGACACAGCTCAGGGTGAAATTTAACCCCAAGAAAAGTCAACTGCTTATTTACTGAAGTTTAGGGAAATAGCATTTAGGAAGTCAGAAAGTTGATATAATGACCAGCAGCCACTGAGAGCACATTTCACAACCCTCCATAAATAAGTGTTCCCTTCTAAATGCCTGCCTTACTCAAAACCTCTTGTTCATTTGTCTATCAATTTTAAATTGCTTAGAGTGGGTGGTGACAATTGTGTCCATATCAAATAGGCGTGGGTGGGAGGGAACAAAATAGTTTGAAGGAATACATATAGAACCTTTGGGACTTATGCAGATTACTTGATATCATTTCCAGACTAATGGAAAAGACCAACGAGAGGTACAGTTTTTGTTTTTGTGTTTTTGGTAATCTACTGGGATTAATTGTTTAAAAGACTGGAAAATAGGACTGGTGAAAAAAGATCAGAAGAAATATGAAGATTTGAATCTGAAGGAGACTGAGGGGAAAAATGAATAGTTGTCAAGGCTATAATAAAGAGGAAAAAAAAAAGGACAGGGAACATCTGTTCTCAATCTCAATAAAGGATCGAAAAGGATTTCGGAAATAGATGCCCTCTCACCCAGCTTAAGACCTCAAGGAATTCTCACAGAAAATTTTAGCATGCTTTTCATCAAAAGGTTAATAGCAAGGCCAAACCATAAGGTCTTGTGTTATACTACTGAGAATTTACTAAGACTCTTATGAAAGAATGTTCAATTAAAATGTTGATTATAAAAATAAACTATTGGGGCGCCTGGGTGGCTCAGTTAAACGTCTGACTCTTTTCTTTTCTTTTTTTTTTTTT